CAGCAGGAGAAGTGGCAGGTGCAGCAGCGACAGGGACAGCAGCGACAGCAGCCACAAATGCAGATGGATCAGCCGAAGGCCTTGATCTTTTCAGCCAAGTGGGAAGGTGTGATCCGTCTCCACAGACAAAGCCAGCAGTGCCTGATGGAATCCACTGATGATAGAACGGGTCACTGATGCCGCAGCTGGTAACCAGTCTGCAGACAAATACGGGTAACATTGTGGACACCTTCCAGCGAGTGAGAGTGCAGTTTCCTCTGCAATGTCCAGCACTTTGGGTTTGTAGATGCTGCCTTTGTCCAACACTTGCTGAATCATCAGCCCAAAGAGAATGGGGAGACGTTCGGAAGCGTTCCTCGCAGGCTCCCACTGTGTCTCCAGCCTTAATCAGCTGTACATCATTCAGGATTTCAGTGGCGCCCCTGGAGAGTTTAGTGATGATGCCCAGAGCCTGGAAGGTCTTCTCGGGCCCCAGAGCAGTGTTCTGGGCCAGCCTGGTGACTTCACATGGTGCAAAGGCACCAGCACGGCCAGCAGCGGCACCTTCCTGCCAGCAGCCATCCCTGATCTCAGTGAGGTCCTCCTTGGTGAACACAAAGCCCACGTTCCCCCGGATACGAGGCCACAGTTTCTCCAGAGCTGGGTTGTTTTCCAGATGTCCCCGGGTGGCCTTGTGCACCGTGGTGTTCTTGCCCATCAGCACCATTGCCTTCCCTCGGAGGGACCCACGGATCTGCTGCATCTGCTTGGAGCCCACATTGTCTGCTCCCATGATGAAGCATTTTGGAAAATCGTCCAAAAGTTGGATGATCTTAAGGAAGTGGTTGCATTTCCAGGTGGCCCTGTCTTCCCTGGACATCACAGCAGTGTGTCAGGAATGGCCACACAGTGTTTAAAGACAATGTCACTCTCATGAGGATGCCTGGAAAGAGGTATGTTCTCAATTTAACCTCAGGAGAATCAACTAAAGAGCTTCCAAGTCCAAAGCAGGTCTTCCTCTGTCCTTTCTTCCTCTATTCCTTCTTCTCTTTCCTGCACTTAATGTCCTCTTTCTGAGAGGCTCTATCTAGGCTTCCTCACCCTACCCCACCCCAATTTTTTTTTTTTTTTTTTTTGAGACAGGGTCTCACCATGCAACTCAGGCTGGCTTTAAATTTCACTATGTAGCTCAGGCTGGCCTTGAACTCACAGTGATCCTCCTGCCTTAGCCTCCTGAGTGCTGGGATTACAGGTATGCACCACCAAGCCCGGGCTTTTCCCTCCTTTTCAGTGCTTAAATTTTTCTGCGCTGAACTGTGCAGTTTCTGCTTGCACCTCTGTTATCTTTCTTTGGATGCTCTCTCATTCTTCTAAATCTACTTCCTCAGAACTCTTCCTCTTATGCTTGGGCTGTTCCTACTTGCATTTTCTCTGCTTTTCTCTGGGTGCCTTCTCTTCTGACAATGGGCTTGATGGGCACCAGTTTCCCGAGGAGAGGTGCTAGGGACTTCCAGATTCCACACCGGTTGAGCTGTGGTTATATTCTTGCTGACTGTGGTCAGGGGTGCTGTTTTTTCTGAGAAATGCTCCCTGGGGAACCAATAGTTCAGACTCTGGTCTTGGCCTGCTTCAAGACTGGGAACCGGGGCTGGGGATTTAGCTCAGCGGCAAAGTGCCTGCCTGGCAAGCGCAAGGTCGTGAGTTCGGTTCCCGGTACCTGAGAAAAACCAA